GGGAACTGTGGCACAGAAAGAAAAATGACTAGTACACAAAAAATTTAACCCTGGAGTCTCACTTATAATTCTCTTCAAATGAAAGAGAGAAATAGTACACAAATATTAGAGGTACAAGGCAATTCTGAGATCATCTTATCCATTATTCTCCAACTGGGCTCCTTATGAGAAGATGTGGGACAAATGGATCCCTGATCAAATAAACTTGGACATCAATGCAAATTGTATTCTCTATTTCTCTCTCTGTCTCTTTCTTGGTCAGTCACAATAAGGCAGCCCCCAATATAACTAATTAAATCAAAATGTATGTGGGAGAGGAGGAGAGAGACTTTCCTAGAATCAGGGTGAAGCTTAATCTATATTCACAAATCTAATAAAATTTAATAAAATCAGTTGGGATTTAAATGCAGCTCGTATGTGTCTAGGACTGTCAAGGGCAGCACAACTCAATCTGGAGAACTTGGGCAATTTGGTCACCTTGTAGGTGGTCTTTGATGAAGAAGGGTGCGTATTCAATCAAGCATCACCCCAAAAAGGCCTGTAATGTTCCTTACAACTACCTATCTCACATCACTTCAATTATCGTCATCAATAATCTTCTGGTCTTGAAGATCATGTTTTGGTTAGGAGATGTGAGCATTCCAGTTACTGGAGTATTTTTGATAGTAACTCTAACTTTATAATTTATTTTATGTATATTTACTCATCATATCAGGCACATACAATCTTAGTAGATACTGATACGATATGCTAGTTGCTGCCAAGGGCTGCTTGGCTACAAACTAAACCAAGTTCTGAAAGAATGTGGGCTATCTTCTTCAATCCTAGACATTCACTAGGATTCCAGTGCTTGGACTATGATGAAGGAGCTTAGAAATTTGCTGAGTGGAGTGAATTAATGACGTACACACAAAATTAATACATGTTGAGACTTCTTAATAGCCAACCAGATTTCCCCTGTAGATCCCAAATTCTGTCTCCGAGAAGATGCTTTTCTAGTTAAACTTTAGGGAAGACATTTGTTCATTGTTAACATTCTTTATATAAGAATTCACAATGTAACTAGTTTCCTTCTAGATTTTAGTGCCAGAAAAAATTATCTTCAGGCAAATTGAGTACTTCATCAAAATGTAAAAACTTCATCACCCATCACTTCCTTTTTGTCTTGGCTGCCAGGAAATTCAATGATATATTTACATAAAATTGCAATGACTATTTTTTCTTCTGATAAAATTTCTCCTTTAAATAATATCTGATCTTTTTTATCTTTAATATATTGCTATTTCTAAATTTATCTATTTTAAATATTATCTACTGACTTTCTATGATAAAAGATTTCTGCTTGCTTGAGACATTTCCCCCTTGCTTCTCCTTTCTTTCCCCATCTCCTAACACTGTTATGCTACCATTTTAGATGCTCTATTGGTTACATTTACCTTCATAACTTTAATAAACTGTAGGGGAGGAAAACAATCTTTTCTCTGTCCATTTTAGGATTCTGGCTAGGGCTCTGTAATAAAGAAGAGATTAATAGGAGAAAAGCATACAGATTTGTCTAATATAAGTTTTATGTGACATAGAAGCCCAAATAAGGAAATAAAGACTCAAAGAAACAGAGCTGAATGCTCATATACTGAATTGGACAAAGAGTAGTATACTACGAAAACACGACAAGACAAGGAGGCTTGAGCTAGGGCAGTTAATGGTGGATATGTAACTAGAAAGATAAGGGATGGTTTAACAAGGTTTGTACAGATATTTTTAGCACTGGTGATAATAATAGTATTATGTTCTTTCTGGTATAGGGAGGACATCTTCTATAAGGTGTTGTAGCTCTTGCTTTTAGAAAAGAAAAAGGGAGGTCAAAGTGCCCTTCTTGCACCTGCTGTTTTATTAAAGTGCCTTTGGCTCAAACTAATCTTTATGCCAAAATGGCACACTGAGGGATGGCATATTTTGCCATCCTTTAATACTCATACTCCCTCTACCAGAGACAGTATCTCTTGATGTCCCTCTTCTTTCCCCCTCCCCGCCCCCATTCATAAAATAAGGACATTAACAACCTTTTGCCCTTAGGTTTGCTTTCACCCCTCTCCTTTGACCTTCTAATATCAATTGTTTATTATGTGGTCAAGGTTAATACTTAAATTCGGTGCTGTAATTAAAGTTTACTGTGCTTTGTGTATGGATTGATTCTAAAACAGTATATTACTGTAACTATCTACAAAGCATTCACTGAAGAGCTCAGTAGCACACTTTGAAAACATTCTTTCTTGTATTGCGTTTTGTTTTCCTGGAGCTCCCAACGGCTTTTCTTATTATTTTTTTCTTTTCTTTTCTTTTCCTTTTCTTATGCATTTTTCATTTCTTTTGCTATAGTAGTACTGAGCTAGAAATTAGTTACAGAGTTCTCATTTTGCCAGTACTTTGCTGTATGGCTAAATAATCACTTGTTTGAAGTTTGCATGTAACATGAGGGCCTTGGCCTTTTGGAAAGTCATCACTTGAGATGATCTATAATTTAGGCATTTTCAGAAGGACTTCAAAAGAAATATGTTCTTCATTAGTGGAAATCGTAACACTTAAATCAGATTCACAAAAATATAAAGTTAAAGACATTTCCATATGACCAGGAGAGAAAAACCTTAGTGTGAGAATAAAAGTAAACTCCCAAATACGTAGAAAACAAATTATTAGAATCTAGGAAGAAAAAAATATAGTATGACTATACTTATAGTTAAAAGATACAACTATATTTATATTTACTTATATATTAGTAAATTAAAAAGCTAAGAATTCATCTGACAAAAACAAAATATTCTTAGAAGTAATGAAAAGCATATGGAGTGTTCAAAACAAATGTGGTATTTCTAAACTTTTAGGTAGCAAAAATTGGCTAAATATACATTCCCCTTAAATCAAAATACATTTTATGTAGCCTTAAACCATGTAGACAGGTTTAAATCTTCTAACTAGCAAATTCACCTGTTAATTGAGTACCTTCCACATAGCTATTCTAGGCATTCAGGATGAAGTTGAAAAGCCAGATGTTGTGTTCAAACACTTGCAGTCCAGAGGAGGCAATAAATCACAATATACTGCACAGGGTGCCACGTGAGTAGGAAATAGCCAGCATCTACCTTTGCCTGGGGGACACAAAGGAGGAGGGACCCAAAGAGATAAGGCTAAGGCTAACACTTGAAGAATAAGGATTTTCTTAGGAGACAAAAGGAGGGCAGAAGGATTAGCGGAACAGAGTAGGGATGTTAGGAATCACAGCCATGCAGATAATTGTAAGACATTTGTTAGTATGGCTCATAAAAATGGTGTGGGGATGTCACAGAAAGCTGGAGTCAGATGAGAAACACAGCAGAAAGGCCTTGCATGTCACACGAAGGCTTATGGATTTCTTTCTAAAATAACTGAAAACTTTTCACAGCAAAGAAATGAAATAATCAGATTTGTATTTTAAATGTTGAGGAAAAACTGAAAGGAGGCAGAACTTGGCAGAAAGCTGTGTATTAGTCTGCTTGGGTTGCAATAAAATGCCACAGACTAGGTGACTTAAACAACAAAAATTTGTTTTCCTACAGATCTGGAGGTTGGAAGTCCAAGATTAAGGTGCCGGCAGGGTCGGATTCTTTTGAAAGCCAATCTTTTCTCTGAACCACTTTTCTCTGTTCTGATTATTTGCCTTTCTCCTTGGCTTACAGATCACTGCCTTTTCACTGGGTCCTCACATGGCCTATTCTCTGCACATGCACATCCCAGATGTCTCTTCCCCTTCTTATAAGGACACTAATCATACTGAATTAGGGCTCCACATTTACCTTAATTACCTTTTTTGAAGGCCCTCTCTCCAAATACAGTCGTATGCTAAGGTACTGGAAGTTAGGATTTCAACATAAGAATTTGGGGGGAACACAATTTCGTCCATAACACAGCGAGTGGCAGTAAGAATGGAGAAAAGGGGCAAATGGAAAGATAGGTAGGAAGTAGAAGTCAACATGACTTACTGTTTGATGAGTCAGGTATACCCAACAGGTAAGGAGTTCTGCCTGATTTTTGGTTTAAGTAATCAGATATGCGCTAGTGCCATTAGGTAAAAAAACAAACAAACAAAAAAACAGTACAAAAGTAGGTGTAGTATGCCAAGAAAAATGAGAAGTTCAATTTTCAACATGTTGCAACTGAAGCAGTATTTTTTAGTTAACAGGTACTTAAGAGTTCAGAGGTTAAGAAAAAGTAATATAGATGAAAGCCAAGAGTAGGAGAAACTGTCCACAAATATAAGAACAGAAGGGAGTTACATCCTGGTGAATAACATCAAAGGTTAGGTGAAGAAGCAGAAGCCAAACATGAAGGCTGTGAAGGTATATAAAGAGAGACAAATAATGAGAACAGAGAAAAGTAGTACAAAAATTAAAGGAGAGAAGAACTGAGTTGAAGATGGGCGTTAATTCTTAAATCTTTTTCAGAAACTTAACAATATTTTACTTCCAGGATTATGATATGTGTTTCTTTATGAGTTCTAACTTGCTTTTAGAATATCATTTGTGATTATTTCTCACTCTTCAGAATGTGTTCCAAACGTCATATTGATGTTATATAGCTTTCACTATATCTTTTGCAAATTTCAAATCTTTACAATGAAAAAAAAATCTTTAAAGTCAAAATATAATGTTATATATCTTAAAATGATCAGTAAATTAACTTCTTTCAAGATTAATTATTCTTGATAATACCCCCATTTATTCTGGAACACACATTTGAGGTCAGCTGTAAAACAAAAGCTACCCACAACAATAAATATACCTTAAATACTTAAATATGTGCCTTAAATATTGTAGAGCTAGCAGTATACCTAATGGATTAATACGTGAGCAATATAATACATCTTGGAATGCCATGTTCTTAGAGCATTAAGTAGCTTAAAATCATTTCATAAAATCTACTTGAATGGCACCAATGATTTTATGTAGAAAATTAAAAACAAGTTGCATATAGGAGTAACATTTATTCATCAGCTATACTTGAATATTATTTTTAGACAATCAGATATAGATACTTTAAAATCCCACATTACTTTGGAAAACCCAAGGCACAGATACAAATGATTTATTATCATTTTTAAAAGCAACAAAAATAATATTAATTCTGGAAGATTTCTAACACTATTATACATTAGAGAAAAAAAATTTCCACAAACGTTCCCTCACAAAGCCAGTAGTTTTATATTTACACAGTGTTATTATAGCAATTTTAAATGTTAATCTATGATACAATAATGTTACTTCAGGAAACATAAAAAATATAGTTTCGTTTAATAGCCATGCTCCCATTTTTGATGAAAGCTAGTTAGTTTGTCCTAATACCAGTTTAATAGTTTAAAAATGCATAACAGATATTCAGTCAGCTTTATAAAATCTTTAAGACAGAAGGCTGTCAAACGGAATATACAGAGGGCTCATCATCACTTATGTCTGAATCTTCTTCCACTCCTTCAATGACTGATTTCTTCCCTTTACAACAGGATATAATTAATCCAATCAAGAATACCTGTAAATTTAAATAAGCTATATATTATTTCCCAAATCTAAAATCATTCAGAAAGTAATATTTTTAAAATTCAATAGCAGTACTATGACACAAATGGACTACTAAGATACAAACAAAGAGTTTGTACATTTTACTTTATAAAGGAAGGTAAAATCAGCCCTAGG